GCATTTGTTTCTCTTTGAAAGGTCAAAACTGAAACTGATTCAACAAGGAGTACAGGTGGTAAGTCTATTTTCTCTCCATAGAAAATCAAAGGCTGACACAATTTTTCTGCTGATCGTGTCTAGAGAGCCTTAAGGCCCCTTTACACTAAGCAAAGACTTTATTAGAATCATCTTACACAGTGGGACGTGCAAACTTAAATGGGCCTTTTGTCGCACAGCCTAGAGGGGTCTTTACATAGATAAGATAGGTTTGTGTGTGTGCATGAATCATCAGGTGGAAAAAAGCTAATGTAATTGACCTTGAAGAGAGGAGTGTACATATATTTGCATCTGTGTTTGTTTTGTGTGGGTGTAGACATCCACATTGTTGGCACAAACAGAAAGAACTGAGCTCTCCAGAGCGGTGTAGTGTCACACTGGGATATAAATAATTTCCACAGCCTCATAAAAATAACAGGAAGAAAATCACAGAAGGGGATTCACCGAGAGCAACTTTAAGACATACAAGACTGGTTATCTGTAACACGAGACAGTACATACGTCAGTCATGCTAGGATGATGTGATGGCTGTAACAGTGAGGAACGGCTAGGAAGAATGGCGGAAGGAAGGCTCTAATTTGACGAGAAAATTGAAGACAAGTGTTTTATAATGTGTTTAAATGCTATCTTCAGGGTTGACCTTTTCCCTCCTGAGGTCTGATATTGCGTTTTCACTCAGAGCGAAAATCAATACATAGTTCGTAAGTAGGGACACTTTCCAATTCACAGACCCTCTCCTTGCTGCCTCATGGCCTTCTCTGCCCTTTGGTTCTCTGTTCCTTTCATTAATCCCTCCCTCCCTCCTGCTCCGCTCCTCCTCACCGGGGGCCAGGAGTTCATCCCAGGAGCCCTCTTCCTTAGCCTGCCAGGATATTTCAGTGGCCTAATGAAAAATACTTTCCACAGAGTGAGACAGAGAGAGGATATAAGCAGAATACAGAAGGAGTGACGAGGGAGGAAGAGAGATCAGAAAAGAAATACCCAGGATTATATATAGATTTGAAAGGAGCAGAGGACGTCAGCATGCAAGGTGCGTGTGTGTGTGTGTGTGTGTGTGTGTGTGTGTGTGTGTGTGTGTGTGTGTGTGTGTTGACAGTCAGAGTCTATTAAGGGAACACTGCAACAGCCATAGAGGACAGACTTCCCTGTCTGTCAAGTGCTAGACAAACAACTCACACAGTTAATGCCGAGTCACTAGACGGGAACTTTTTTCTCTTTTTACCGGTGATGTCATTTCAAGTAAAAAATGCAAACATTTTCACAACAGTAATTAAAGTTTACTGACATTTTGAGACAATGTTAGTGGGTGACACTGCTTTCTGTAGGAATAAAATGGAAGATAGACAACTGGTTTTCCATGAACAGTGTTTTGTATTTAAACTGACAATCATACATTCTTCACATTCTTCAAATTGTGGGTTTGGGAAATGTTCCATAAACTAAAAGGATGTGAGATTTTCTTCACAAAGAGAGACAAAATTATCGTAAAGGAACAATGTGTCGGGTTCAGTGTCATCTAGCGGTAAAATTGTAGATTGCAACCATTTGAATACAGCTCAGCCTTCCAAGTGTGTCAGAGAAACTATGGTGGCCACAAAACTTGCAAAAGGCCCTAAAAAAACGGCTCATTCTAAGGAACCAAAAACACAACATTTCTTATATAATCAGGCGATGATACACTAATGAAACAACATACCTCTGAATAGTATATTTAATTTCTGGCAATAGATCCCCCTAAATGTTACACAGTGGACCTTTAAAATTACCAGAGCTGAAACAAATAGTCAATTAATCAATCAACAGAAAACCAACAACAAAATCAACAATTCTGATTCAGTTTAAGTAAATCTTGAAACAGAAATACACAAAATTAATTGGGCCCCCTTTCTGAAGTGTACATAATTTCAGGTCTTCTTAGATTTCCATTATTATAAACTGAACATCTGTAGGTATTGGACTGTTGGTTGGAGGTTTGATTATTTCAACTTGTGCTTCAGGAAATTATTATGGGACTTATATATGGTCCATTTTTAATTTTATAGACCAAACGATTAATCAAGAAAATTAGGTTAACCATCTTAATCGACATTGAAAGTAAGCTACAAATACAGCAATAATCCCCCAGACCAGACAATCATGTTAGACAAGGTCACGGGGGGTGATGGCTGCAGGCTAGCCCCAGCTAGAAGACAATGAATACGGACTAACAATCCCATGAGACTTAAGAGATAAAAAAACGACCAGCACCATTTCATTTAAATAATTTGCTACAACTTCATCAGCAATGATAAACGAGTGCCAAGGGACAACAGCTGCAACCTAAAGCCTTCCTAAAAACACACACACACACACACACACACACACACACACACACACACACACACACACACACACACACACACACACACACACACACACACACACACACACACACACACACAAGGAATCCTGAATGTGTTGCCCTACAAACAATGTATTAACTACTAAACCACTTAGATGCCGAAGCTGCACACACCAATGCACAGATGACAAACATAGCAGCCCGAACTTTGTTGTTGTTACAACCTTAAATATCATAACACAGATTGTTGAACCCTGGCACAGTGGACGACCGCATCCTGGCAACAAGTTGTCTTGATCCAGTAAAGTCAACTATGAGGGCAACTTCTGTGTAGCCATGTTTCTGTGTTACAGTGAGGGACATAAAGATATAATGTATGTGCTATATGGTCTAAGTTGTGTGAGCATGAGTGTGTGTGTGTCCATGGATTATGGATTACTGTCTGTAATCATCTTAAAGGCCAGTAGGACAAGGCTAGCAGCATGACCAGACTAGACCCACACAAACACACACATAGACAGGGCACAGCGAGTGTTCACACAATTACAGCGGACTCATTTATTGTCCTGTTCCGCTTTACAACATAGTCTTTATCTAACAGGTAGCGAGCTACTGAGCAACTGGGACAATGCAATGCTCACAGTGCTGATTGTGTTTGTGGATGATGAGTCGAAATCGACTTTTCTGGTTTAAAAAGAAACGGATGCAGCCAAAGTCACCAAAGAGACAAACTGCAGTTCGATTCAGCACAACTGACATTTCAGAGTAATTAAAAAATGGACACATAAAGCAGTGTCTTCTGAATGGCAACAATGTCACCACATTAAAATGCAGCACATGGTAATATAGAGCATAAAGCACAGTGGAATCAAGTGGTAGCTATCAATGCTAATATAATGGATAAGAGAACATTTTAGTAAATGTGGTTACTTTTTGGTAAAAGAGCAGATTTTTTATTTTTACTAAAAACTAACCACTAATGTCATGTGAGAAATAACAAGCCCCTTTGCAATATAAAGGATAACTTTATCTTAATTCACACTGAACAACTTGAAATGTACACATTGCCAGCAAAGAACTGACTGTATTTGGCCATAAAGTTTGAAATATTTCACTTTTCATTAGTTCATCTAATTAAACTGACATTTGTAAAATACTGGCCTTTCTTAAATCAGTGCAGCACTTTGCAACTTTTGTTTTGAAAAGTGCTTAATAAATAAATAAATATTTACTGAATTTCTCACTTCCTGATGAAAGTTGTTCTAAACTGAAGACGGGTCTACTCTCCCACTAAATGAATAATGTGAGTGACTCTTCACATGTTTATAATAAGCATGATCACCTCCTTTGTGCACTACTAACCCTCTCTGTCAACTTTAGATATACACCAGCTAATATAATAGCTGTCTATATACGGGAGTCTGGGTGTTGTGCTCAGTAATCAACTTAAAGGAGATCAGCAGATCAGAGGAACCTAAGACGATCTTCATGTTCCTTCAGGAGGATTGAACTCTGGTCTTCTGGGTTTGGACGGAGACTCATTATCTTGTGTACATGAGTGTCTGCAAGTGTGTGTCAGATCTTTGTCTTCTGGTTGGTTACCAGCTACAGAACATCAACAGGTCAAAACATGAGCATTGCATCTTTTAGTGTGATCAAATGGAAACTGCTGTAACTGTGACCATGAAAATTAATTAGCAAACATTTTGAATGACTGTATTCTCATTCAGTTGGACATTAAACATTAACTGAGCAGATGACTCACATGTGGAGACCCCATTCTAGTGTGAATTTCTTGAAAACGTATTAATGTAGAAACTATATTTCTTATAACATTTACATGAATTATTAACATAGTACTATCTACATACCTACATATAATTAACACTCAAAGACTACTAACATGTCTATAACATGTGTATGAACAGACTAAAGTAAAAATAGAAGCTAAATATTTCACCAGGTGATGTGATTCCAGTCTACAAACTTATTAAGGGCTGCACAGAATTATAGTCTTTCTAATAAACCTTTCCAGTGACACAAACAGTAGACAGAAACCAGTGTAACCTGACCTCTCCTGTGCCAGGAAACACCAATTTTAAGTCAGTTTTATTTGTTTACCATTATTCAGTAATGAATGTCTAAAAATAACAAATTATCTTTTAATCATTTGGTTATTTCTGCTTTATTGACTTTACTAGGAAACACTACGGAAAAACACAACCCTGAGCTAAACTACTGAAGAGGATAAAAAAAGGGGGGAAAAAAGGAATTATCAAAATTCATCATTAAGAAAATGAGGGTAAGTGTAGCACAGATTCAGAGATATATGAATGCCAAGAGACAGTGATGGGATGTTATTATAACTCTATAGTCTGTGATACACCAAACAAAATGTGTGAAAATCAGACCAAGATGTGCAGCTGGTACAGCAACCAAATCACAGGTTGGCCAGACAGGCTATTGGTGAATACAGTGTAACTGCAACTTACTGGTTTTAAATCCAGTCCAGTCTGGGACCTTTGTCACATGTCATCCCACTCTCAATCCCATTCTGGGAAGACCCAAGAAAAAAGATCTGTCTTACATAATAACATATGACACAGTAGCTATGTCTCACCTGGCTGCGGGGCTGTCGTCAGTGTGTGTGTGTTGTGGTGAGTCAGAGGAGGCAGGACCTTCCTCCCCGTCCTGAGGCAACTCTTCACATTCTGCTTCACACCTCTCATCATCCAACAGCTCAGTGATCTGAAGACAGACATTTAAAGCACACAAAAGGTTACAGTCTAAAAATGTATTTATTCACTTAGATGGAAAAAGCATGTGAAGATATTATTAATGCTTCCTTTAGTTAGTATGAGATTGTAAGCAATACCAGGGGATACCAGGGAACAGTTATAATAAAACAAGAAGTTTGCAGTTTTTTACACGCTGAAAGAAAATGCATATATATATTTACTACTTAAGTAAAAAGATCAGAATTATTTTAGGAGACTTGTGTTCCTGTTATTTATACTGACATTTAACAGCCTCAGGACAGAGGTCAGTGGAGAGGATAATACTTATAATAACCTATTCCTGGTCTTTAGTCTCTTGAAGAGTGATATATTCACATGGACAGAAGGTCAAAGTAAAGATTTAACTAACTTATTTGGTATCAAATAGCGATGCAACGACATATCGGTCGGACATTGTTATATTCGCTTTACATTGATTCACATCAGCCTATTGGCAAATAAGATGGTATTTGACAGTATCAGTAGCCACTTTTGTGCTGGCTATATGTTGTTTTGGTTATTTCCAAGTAGGATATCGGAAAAATAATCACCTACGAAATCACCTACAAAATCTATGCAAATAGATGTTCAGTTCTGCATCTTGGAACTTGGATGGGAATTGAAATAGACTGGACAGCAACAAGGCAGAGATTATTATCTTTGCAGGTTTCTTTGTTTCACGATACAAAAGAGTGAAAATACAACAAAAAGCATTGGTACCGACACAGCTATTGACCAGAATTTCCCAATCGTATCCTTAGTATCAAAGTTGTCTCATCTAGCGGATTTCTAAGATCAGTTTACACCTATAACATCTTCTGAATTTGTAGGGATGATATACAATTAAATATTAATAAATACCCTTTCCACTTTATTCTTAATTTGTTTTGTTGTGACTTTTTGTGTCCAGAGATGAACTGCAGTGGAGAACGAAAGAAAGGTGTAGGCAGTCTGTGTTCATATATGCAGTATGTCTGTGCATGACCGGAACAACGTTATACAATTTGTTCCATAAGACATCTTAATATAGATGAAGCTAATGAGTAACACATTGACACCACCGAGATGGTGGTAAGCAGAGATAAAAGCTGAATGAAAAAATAACAAGAGAAGAGGAAGGGAGCGAGATGAAGGGTTTAAAATAGTGACATATATCATTTTCCTGTTGACTTTGCAATGTACCCATGCATGATGCAATGTCACATTGCAAATTATGCAATAAGGCAAAGAAGGCCCACCATGACGGACTATCAAACCTATTTTACTGACATAAAATGCATGTTTTAATGACCAACATGTTGCCCCTTTTAAATATGTGTTGGTTACAATTACAATCACTCTCAGGTTAGAGAACTGAGGAAAAACAAACTAACAAGAACATCAAATAGATGTCTGCATCTACAGTGACATGGCTGTGAGGAGTAAAGACAATGAAAGAAAAGAATGATAAAGAGAGCCAGAGGGAAGAGATGGAGGGAGTGATAGAAGGCAGAGTGTAATGAATCTGACAGTAGACGAGAGATGTAAGACCAGAAGGAGAAAAGGGAAGGGACGTCCCCTTTTCTCATCTGGGGAGAGAAAGGGAGGACAGTAAATATGTAGACACAAATAATTCATCATAATACGATACCACAAACAGAAATCCTTGGGCAGCAGTTTATCAGAGATAAACAGCTCATTTCGCTTTGTTTTGCTGATTTGATTTAGTAATATGTGATTTTTCTAAATAAGCATTATATTTATATATAATACACTAGTGATTAAAGCTATATCCTGGCCACAAAGGCTTTTTTATGTGCAGCTTAATTCAGTGAGTATCAGTCAAACTGAACTGGGAAAAACCCTGGAAGGAACATGGGTGAATAGGTCATGAACCAGATTTGTCATCATGAGACTTTTTTTTCTACCTCCATATCACTCTGTTTGTCCCCAATGCTATTCTCTTTCCTCCCTCACTCTTCAGCTCCCTTCAACAGCAACCCCATCTGCTGCTGTCACTGTGTCGTTGCTACGGCAACACCTCTGTTCCAAGAGCTCTGATTGGCTGTCAGGGAATTCTTGCATCGTCACATGGGCAGATCAGGGAGGATGACTCACAACACTCCTCTGTGTGTATGTGTATGTGTATGTGTGTGTGTCTGTGTGTGTATGATGTGATTAGGTAAAGAAATCCTACTTTCAAACAGCTTCAGTCTCATTTTATATCTTTTCCTTGTGACAATGACTTTGTGTTGGTGTGCAGCCAAGCAGAGCTGTGATGTGCATCTTTATGTGTAGGTGTTTTTAACCAAATGACCAAATGGTGTGGAAAGCTCATAAATAATGATTTATCACCAAACTGTCTCTCTGTGCTGTGAGGATATGAACAAATCAAAACAAGTGCACACTGACGCTGACTTCCTATACTTGCGCAAATGACCTTGTGTTTTGTCCCAACTGCACTTGAAAGCTCAACATATCTTAAAACTCTCCCTGTGATTCATTTGTCAACCAGCATCTGAAAAAGTCAGTGAATGCCATAGGAACATTGGCAGAAATAAATCAATTCAATAAATATGCAATTCAATAATAAAGTAATATCTTAGTTTAAAATGTGCAGAATTGGATATCTTTAATTGAAATTATGACCAAAGAACTACATTGAAGGTATCCTGAATTTAAGTTTCGACTAATTATACTTTAAAATGGGGATATCTATTTATCTTTCCACTAGTCATGAAGGTATTGTTTAATATGTTTAAAGGTCTTGTCAGAATTGTGGACATAGTAGCTATGCCACCCTTACAACTAGTACACAAAAATAACAGTTAAATCATCTTGGAGCATTCACGTGGCACAGCAGTCTTAGACGAGTATCATATAATCGTGTAACAGAGAACAGAATAAGGGACAAACAATTAACATAACAGAACTACATTAAAAGGCCACTGGAAAAATAATCTAAAGACAGTCATTAAACTAAAGCTGCTATCACCATCCAGATCACTGTATTTTCTGTCTAAAATGGTTCCTGACTTCATGGGCAGAATAAAATCATTCGGAGGACATAAGTGACCTTGATTCAAACTCTGATCTACATTATCATCATGTAAAATTCATTCAAAGCTATTCACCAGTAATACAAATGAAGGATGCGATGAATATAACCTTGAATTATACACCAGCTTCCAAAAGCATAGTCTATCAAGGCTGCTGGTCAGTGATATGGAAAAATGTGTCTAGATATCTCTGTAAATAGAAGTATCCTTGTGTATACCCATTAAAAGGCAGGAGATGACATAATGAACAATGAAACTTGAATTCATAAGTGATTCTGGGCTATAGGCATGCATTCAGATGGCGTGAACAGCGTTATAAATATGATCACGGCTGTGCTGAGTAAGTTACTGTATCAAAAACCTTCTGAGGTGACGTAACAATATTAGAGGATAAGAGTTGTTAAATTCGCTGTCAGGATGACCTGGAATGGTCATTCATAAGCTGAAAATATTATCCCCTTATTTAAGACTGTGGAAAATTTTAATCATGTTAACTCACAAATCAGAGTTTAAAAAAAAAATAAAAGGAGATGCTGTGTGCGTTTCTGTGTATTATGTAGGACTGTATGGTGTGAGTGTGTGCCCGAGTGGGTGCAACGACAAGGCCGAGAGCAGCCTGGAACAAAAGGTCTTGAACTTGGCCCTGGTTTAGCGGTTCGGTCCAGGGTTTCAGGGGGGAAAACAGAAACAACAAGCCCTACTGACATCACTAGTTGAACTGTTAGTGGGCCAAGAACACAGAACAATGACAACTGACTTGGACTGACATTACAAGTCTCACGCTGTGGCCTACATCTGTGGCTCTTTTGTATGCCTCCTTCATTCTGATGTTAGATAAACATTAATACAGTGACTACATTGTACCTCTAGAAAGTTGAAAAAAAAAACTGAATTTTTTTTTTCCTATTTGGACTGTCAGGCAGATATTATTGTAGGGTACATGAGTTAGCTTACAGTTTTTTATTTGAGTGATTTCCACCTTTCATTTGAAAATCTAATAATTATGGATTTACCTTCCTTTGTAATGCTATTTGATCCTTTTTTAAGAAAACATTGCATGGTAGTGTTGCTGGACTATTCAGAAATGTTATATGTATGAGTGCAGGGTATCATTTTTTATTTCCTTTGTCTTTTACATTAGAAACGCAAGGAGTTTTTAAAATAAACATTGCAGCATTCAGTGGCACAATCTGAGCAGTGGAAAAAAAGGTCTTAGTGTTCAGCTCAACTGTTCAGTTTCTTCTCTCAGTGAGTTCCTGCTCATTCTTGCCTGTGTGACTGTACTGTTTACTTCCAGCAGTACCACCATGGGATGTATCTCTCATCTTTACCTGATGAAACTGATTTACAGACATTCATATTCTCTATGACCGCTCATAAACTGTTGTCAAAGTAAATAAATCAACTGTATAGCTCTGTATTTCTAAACACTTGATGGAAACAAAATGTGTAAAATGTGTATGTTTATACTACATGTCCCCTTACAGAGATATTATACATCTCCCTGACTGTCCAACTAGACCATCACCTCCTCCTTAAATAACTCAGCTTATCACTGTGTCACAAGATCATATAAGTGTATATGCTCTAACCTGTATAGGCTGTTCCCAGCTGCTGAACATTGTGACAACCCCTGGTATTTGTAACATTACTCCATTCACCCAGTTCTAATTCATGTCCATGATCCAGGTTACAGCTATACATTTGCTGTGGCATCTGAAACATGGCTCAGCTCCAGAAGCACCTGACTAAGTTGGCAGAGACAACGTAATAGGATACATCCTGATTTATTTATCTGCTAAGGTTAAACTAACAGAGCTGGAAAAAAAGGCTGTCATTAAAATGCTAATTAATTAAGTAGAGAGACAACAGTCTGACCACTGAACACTGTGTCAACAGGATGGACAAGTTGCCACTGAAGTCATTTTAAGGTATAAGTAACATTACTGGCCTAATGTATCTGTTAAAGTGACGGCAGTTTGTCATTTAGACATGGGGGGCCATTACGTTAATGTTCGTTATGGCTTTATTCATACATGACAGAATCTTCCAGCTGCAAGTAAGGAGTGTTCTCAGTTGTCTATAGGCTGTGTCACTGATTTACTGGGACAGTCTGCTTACGTTTCATGTTCACTATACTGGTACTGCCATGTTGTCCCATTTCTAAGAGGTATGAGTCTAAAAAGTACAGGTTGCTATCTAATACTACAGGATGCAATGTGGTTGATAATGTTTTCTGCCTGGTGTGCATCCTCAGAAAAGTTGTGCTGAGGAATCAAACTGACTCTCCAACACTCTCCTAAACAATAATTCAACTCAATCCCATTTTGCCAACAAAGCCAAAATCCAGGTTAGCACGTACCAGTGTTATATACCTGCCTGCCTCATTAAGTTTCAAAGTTATGCCCAAACATGCCATGACACAACAACTGTCCTCTTCCTTCACACTCCCTCAGTCTTTCATCTGAGTCTCTGTTAAAACTGCCCTTCCATCTTTTTCATTCAACAAAATTTGCATTGTCCATTATTTTGTAGCTCATTTGAACTGTCCTCTCCAACCTCTGTGTGGAATTTTGAACTTACTCTACAAGGCTTAACAGAAAGCATGAAGCATGTGTGTTTCCTGTGTGAAAGCAGGTGTGTGTGTGTGGGAGATAATCCCCTTCATGAGGGTTTGTTCGCACAGAGCGATCCCCAGTGTAGTGCAGGGGCTGGAGGTGTGAGCTGCATGGTTACATCATCAACAGCTTCTTTTCTTATCCTTCTCCTCCCTCGCCATCTCTCCCTCAATTCATTTCTTTCTTCCTCTTCTCTCTCACCATTTCTCCCCCATATTCCTGGCTGCTTTTTCTCCCTCTACCTCTCTAAAACCGCCCACTTTTTTGCCCTCTGTGTTACATAAAACACATCAGCGCACAGATAAATTGTCCTTACAGAATTTTCTCATGGTCTCTCTCTGCTCCTTCTCTCATTCTGTCTCTTGGTAATGTTATATTCCAATTCATCTGACACGCCAGCTAATAAAACTGGACAACGGGAGAGTAGGAAAAATCAGAAAGTGAAAGAAATTGAATTTGGAAAATAAAAAAGAAATTCTTTAGCTTTCTTTTACAAGCCAGAGCTTTCGTAAGAGGTTTTTCTTGAATAAAGTCACTATATGACAGATAATGACTCAAGATTACAAGGCAAGTAAAATTGGAGCCAAGTTTCCCACAGCAGAGCAGACATCAGTTAAGAATACACTGAAATAAAGATGGAAACTGTAACAAAGACAAAATAAAAAAAGGAGGGAATCAGTGAAGGACTTGAGCAGGCAGTCTAGAGTAATTGAACAGGTGACCTACTGTAGATACTGCAGTTGCTCTTCCTGTCCTGGCCAGACTTTAACAATAACTGTCTGTCAGCCTTTAACTTCAACATTCAAACATGACATTTACAGTGCCCCTGCTGTGTTGGAGAATGCGCTCTCATATGCGACAGGAAACGTGAGATACCGATCAAGGGTTGTCTCGTAATTATTGTGTCCGTGTACATGTTATCATGTAATAATACAATGTAATCAGACGACTGTAAAATTAAATGTTAACTATGTCATTCTGTTGGCCTAGTAGTGAGGTTGTGTTGCTGGGCAACAGGGGAAATGCCTTTGAGTTTGTTTAGTCTGCCAGTCACGTTCTGTGTGTTCAGTGCAAGACAACGACAGTTATATAGTTCAACACAGTCAAACAGCTAAGAAAAAATGTTTTGACATATGCTCATTAAACCATGTTGATAGTTATAGTTGGAGAATCTCGACACTGAACACACCTCAGAGTTTATTCAATGCTCTGTGTAAAGAATGTGTGTGTGTGGGTGTGTTTGGGTGGGGCTCTTTCTAGATTTTTCTGAGAGATATTTTGTTGATGGAAAGAACTTGTTCATTTGTTCATTAATACAATGCACAGTACAACAACAGCTTGAGGAGGTGAGTACAGGTGAATATCAAGGTGACTTACATTCCTATACAACAAAAGTTCTGGCTGAGTGCAGCTAATTAATAATGATCAACCTGGATGGATTCACTAAGGTTTGTTTCACTGAAAAAGATTTATTTTCCTAGGATGTAGTCACTGAATCCCTAGTCATTGAATTAATGATTTATAAACTCAAAAGCTCATTCCAAGATGACTGAGCATATTATGCATAATGCATAGCTGACTAATTTGGTAAAAAACAAATGTATGCTATGATGAAAGACTGGAGGTAAATCTGTTATTATAGTATTGTCTTTTCCCTCAAAGCAAAGTTTGCTGTGTCTTGCTAACAGTTTGATGGCATATCGAAATTTTAATCTTCTACTTTTCACAATAGGATTTGTCTGTTTTCTCTATGCGTCAAGCCAGAAAGAATTTCACCCCTGACCGGGGCAGAGTTAAATGCCACATTCTACTGTCTCAGCACCATTAGAGAGGAACAAACAAGAGGAGCAGACAAAGAGGAATTTTATGGGTTTTGTAATTGGACTTCTTTGCCATGATGTCAGGAATGTTGACAGTGAATTAATGTATTCATAAGAATTTCTTACACAAAGAGCCTTACAGCAATGCGCAGATTCCACTTTGTTCTCTATTGTATTTTGTTCTTTTTATTTGCAAATTGTATGTCGATATATGACCAGGTACTAGGCATTTATCGCACAAACAGCAGATTTATATGCTGATTATTTGGGGGGAAAGAATAATGGCAAAGACCGCTTTGGGTGGATGGAGGAGAGCGGAAAAATATATAAAATATACTTTACATCTTCACCATTCACATAGGGACAGCTTTGGAAACGTCTTTGCAATAAGCATAAGCATACGCTATGAAAGTGTGCCATGTTCATTCTTATATTACCAGATATGCAAGCGGATACTGACACAGTGTAAAAAAAGAGTGTAACTGAGAAGATAAAGATAGAAACACAGTTGATGGGCAGTACCTGTTCATTGATGGAGCTGTAGTCGTTGGTGGTGGAGACGTCATCATCCTCCGAGTCAAACAGGCCGTCCTGGTTGTCCAACAGCTCTGCCAAGACTCTGCTGACAGACTCCTGGTCTCGAAGGTCCTCTCCCTCTGTTGACAGACTGCAGAGAGAAGACGAGAAAAGAGTGTGTCTTGTTGTGTGCACACTGCTCTCCATGGGAAAAGCTAAATAAATGCATATGCAAGTACTTTTGTGTGCCTCTATATGTTAAATCAATAAATAATAAATACAATTCTCCCTGTAGATTTATCCTGTTCACACTTTCTAATAATTTGACGATATACGATAACATAATACAGAAGGATTTGTAACTAAATAACTTCAGAGTTTTGGCACTGATAATTAATACTACACTGGGAGATCCACACTATGAACCGGTCTAGGTGCAGAAACAAGCATGCAAAAAATGCAAACCAGGATGCAAACAATAAACTAGAATAACCGCCCTGTGATCCACGTCTGGATCTTTATATCATTTTACTACTCGTCAAGTGGAAAAACATGCACTTTGTTGCCCTTAGCTCACAGTATCTGGCAGCTCAGCTTATTTTGTAAAGGTACAATGATTGTGACTATTAAACACAATCATTAAATGGCCATATACAGGTATCTTACTGGAAGATGTCGGGCCCGAAGACAGCGGCCAGCGCCCCGATGTTCCAGCTCTCCTGCTGAAGTGATGCCACACTGGCCAGGAAGCGACACAGGAAGCGCAGAAGACCATAGTTCAACTGGGGAAGCTGCTGCAGGAGGTACTTCAAGTTTCTACACAGCTCCTCTTCACTGCTGTAATCTGCAATGTTTAAATGTAGGATACAGGCTATGTTTACATGTGACTATTAACGTTTTTATGTTAAGCTTCAGTGCAGTTGACATCCCTTACTTACTGTAATTAAAAAGGGTGTTGGTTTATAATCACCATTAGAACTTGTACTCTTTATACAAGATGTACCCAATGTTACTACAAGGCTCCTTTTCATTTCTGTATGTGGAGATGTGTGGAGTGAATTATGGGTTATCAAGTTCGTTGAGTTCCTTCGCAGTTGACCTTAAAAATTCTTATCTCTGGGAAATATGCAGACACAGATAAGATAAATACAAAATACTCTTGGAAGAGGTGAATTGAGGGGAAACGGGAGATGGCATTAGGAAGGACAATGTGCAAAAAGGGTAATCTTTGGATAATCCGCGCAAACTCGCCCACTGCTGTAATTTGCATTACAGCAACAGGAACAACCATCATGATGACAATGGGATTAGAACAGATTATCTGTGAGGCCAAAAAGGGAGACAAATAAAACAATGGGAGGGAAAAGTGCACGTGATTATACATTGTCAGTTATCAGTCTTATTTTGTTGCCTGGATTAAGGACCAGTGTGGTTTAGTGGCATCTAGCAGTGAGCATGCAGATTGCAACCAACTAAAACTCCTTGATTCCATGTGCAGGAGAAACTATGGTGGCTGCAAAACTCTTAAAAGGCCATATATAGAGCCAATGTTTAGTTGATCTGTTCTGGGATACTGTAGAAACACGGCGGTTCAACATAGCGGACTCCGTGGAAGATGACCTGCTCCCTCTGTAGATAAATGAATTCCAAGGTAATTTCTTATTTTTAGGTGATTATACGCTAATGAAAACATACCTACGAATATTGTATTACAATTCTGCCAATAGATCCTCCTAAATGTTACACACTGGACCCTTTAAGTAAGAAACATGCAAAGTGAAGAGGCAGAGATAAACAGACAACAGAAGGAAAAGAAAGCACAAGGACTTAGTATTACTATAGAACATACGCACACACCATTTAGGCAATTGTGCTGTAGAACTAACCACCTTGTGTTATGAAAGCCAGTTTCTGCTTCATTTAGTGATCTTACTATGCACTGTGTAATCACAGCTTAGATAACCAAAGTCTACATGAACACAGTCATAACATGGTAACACAGAATAAACTTGGATGATTACCATCCAATCAGAAATGTGAGAAAACGGTGTGTGTTTCGTACTTATGGTCACATCTCTTTTTGTCAAAACAGAGCAAAAAAAAGAAAAAACACACCTTGGTGTAGCTGTAGTATGTGTCCCTGTATCGCTGTTGGGATAACAGGCTCAGGAAGCTCCTGCAGGAAGAGTCGGAGCAAACTGACCGCTGATGCCAGGTCCGCCTCCTTCTCTAGCTCCACGTCCTCACCACTGTCGTAACGCTGGCGCAGCCAATCCACACGCTCTGCGTTGCCATTCACCAGGAAGAGGCCCTCCAGGTCCAGATGACCTGATGACACACAGCAATGATTGATTATAATCAACTTTATTATCATATGCTTGGTTTGGTTATTGAGCAGTTGTCTGTTTTTAAACCACCTAACCTCCTGTACCAGGACAGACAGGCAGTGAAGTATTAGAAATGCTGATTACATCTGTGGGGGTGCTCCTAATTGGCGTATGCACCTGAATGCTTTTCTGTTAGGCAGACATGAATCAAGCTGAAGGAATTTCTTTAAAAAAAAAAAAAAAAAGATTTAATTCTGCACAACCTGCCAATGATTGAGTCAAAACCCAAACTTGACTTGAGATTTACATTATCGCTGGGAAAATGTCCTTATCATAGCCCTACTCTGCTAACAAGCCACAGGAATAGATGCTTTAGTCTCTAAATATAAAACTTGGTTATAGCTAAGCTAAAGGTTTGTAAAATTCACCAATATATTGGTAAGGCATGCCCACTTATTCTGAAACTATAGAAAGTATCTGGCTGTTATATAATCTTTTCTCTTTTGAAGTATTTTCTGGTATAAAAAAACTCCTCATCTGCAGAGAAATTTAAGTGCCTTGAGAAACTATAAAATCATAGACTATAGTCTCTGTTACATGTTTGTGTGGTTGTCCTGCATGTGTTTGTGTGTATGTTAAGGTAATCAATAGCTTGCAGTGGCTTTTAATTGGTCTAGTTCAAGTGATAACAACATGTAACTACCTGATCGCAAATATCTGGTAAACACAGAGTTGTGTGACATTCATGAATTTGTGAGTTAATGAAAAAAAGAATAAACCGTCTCTCCTCCATCTTCAATCATAAGAAGACTGTATTTCTCAGCCACATTTGTAAGAGCCTTTGAAATGGGACTTATTTGGTCTAGAAATACAGAGTCAGTATGATCTGGTTCCTGAATTTGATAACCAGCTAACGTAAGGTCAGCACAAGAATAGAAGTACAAGGACCTGTGTATACAAATGCATTTGTGTATGTGAACTTCTCCCTTATCAGTATGAACAAATAGACGCATTACCACACTGACTGTTATCATTCCTATCACTGGGTGTTTGTGGTTGAAAGGACAAACCGATAGTTTTGCAAGTCATGTCAGGGCTTGGACCGGTTTTAGAATTTTTTTTTTTTATATTATCATGTTTTTCCTCCTTTACATAATAAGCTGGTTATCTGTTCATCATGCATGCCTGTGTTGTCACATGAACCGCCTGCTAGCTAGCTACTATAACGAGCACCGCATTTGCACATATCAAAGTCAAGATGATGTTGGCAAATGTTCACTACATACTGAAGATGAGGTGTGTGTAGAGCCATATAATTCTAAAAATGTGATCTTTTTATGAGATGAAAAACGCAAACAACACATGCTTGTGTATGTGTATGCCCTATTACATTAACGCGTACCTAGGCTTGGCTTGCCTTAGTCCTACAAATGTTTCATGTAGCAATGGAGGTAATCTACCACAGTGTGACGTAAAAACAATGACTGCCAAATGAGAATGCTGATAGGCCTGTTTGGGTATATTTTCGGTTGGTTCCAGAATAAAGTGGTTCACCAGTGGAGCCTAAAGGGTTTGGTATTCTTCAAACAAACTAGTTTGTACATACACTTGTCTGAACATGCCTAAAGGCAAAAGTGGTTATCCCACACTCGAAGGCTGGGCAAAAAGCCTGCCGTAATACCGAGTGGCAAGATGTGATGTGATTTTGGAAAGTTACAACCATTGTCAATCCAACAAGCACTTTGTTTGTAGCATACTGCATCTTAAGTAGAGCATAAAGCAATTGATTCCCAACCAGTGCTAGCACGTTTCACTGAACATGTCGCATTCTAAGCAATTACTTATCATGATGACTATTGCAGAAGTCCCACCCAAAGTACCTGGCGAGGTTTAAACACAAGAGGCAATGCTTCAAGATGGTTGAGGTGGTGATGTTGTGGCTTATGAAACGACACAGTGCATTGTTTTAGTCCAAAGTTTCCACAGGAGACCTTTGGGACCTATTCCTATTTTACAACTCAACAAAATAGCATACGTGCAGAACAGCATTCAGTGACGACAGGGCTCGCAGTAAAGATATCATGCAGATCACTGATCTCCTCACACATTGCTGATTAATGATTTGAGTAAAACATTGCTCAGCCCAGTGTAACAATGCAATATCTACCAAAGCCTTGTTCAAATTGTATGAGGGATGTAATCTGTCACAGATGTCACAGCTTTGGTCCGACACACCTTTAAGTGCTCTCCATTTTCAATCGCTATCCTACACCAGATTACCTTTATACTTCATATTTTCAACACCTTGCTCCTACTAGAACCTCAGACATCACACACGGAGAGATTAAGGTCTTTTCACTGGCTGAATAACTTCTGGACTGGCAGCACCACTCTAATTAATGCGTCAGCAGAGGCCCGGGAGGATTAAATACTTATTACATAACTTCGTATGGTCGAGTGGCCCCCAGGTCACACACACCATCAACCTGCTTCACTGGTCACTTGAGGGGACTTGAGGCGAAGCTTCATTCCAATTGTTAAAAAATAAAACATCTAATGACTTGACAGGTTTTACAAGAAGCTCACTCCAGAAGACTGAGAAAGGAAATTAGAAAAGGAAGCTTTTTCTATTGTTCAACCTGTCAAGCAGATGTGTGTTTGACATAGTCATTAGGCTTCCAAACCCCAGAGCCAAATAAAATACCTATCCAACACATATGCATTACTTTCTATAACATGTAAATATATCCAGTGGGTACTGGTGATGTGTCTTTAATTCTAAACATTATTTCCATATTGGTCTTCAGGATACTTTCATTAATTTAGCAATTAATGCCAATCAATCAGTGGCAACGACTTTTTTAGTCATCTGATTGCTTCTACTGTGAGACACAAATTAAATTTTGTAAATTAAATTTACAAATTGATCTTTACATCCATATGCAATTTTATCTAATATAAGACATACAGTCATTTTGCACACACAAGAGATAATGAGATTTTGGGAAACCAGTTAAATCTAATCTAATCTAGATGACTATCCATTTCCCCAGGGTTCACACCAACAATGCATCCTTACCACACAGTGGATTGACTGGTTAGGCTGAGGGCCGAATGGGCTAGGTAAAACATTAGAAGACTGGTACTGATGGTGTTATGTATCCAGTAAAAGTTAAACATTTTTTTAAAAAAAAGCAAAGGTTCTGCCCCTGGTTAGTTTAAAAAATTGGCTAGTGAAATGGTCAGTCTTCATTTTTTATCCCTCTCATCCTTCAGAGCCAACCTCTCTTATAAAGATAATGACATTAGACTGAAGTTCCTGCTCCGCGAAGCTTGAAGAGAAATGTTCCAGGGGGATATGGGAAAGGCCCAGGGCCAGGACTTTGGTAGGTTCCTCTCTTCACCGTTAAGCTCTTCTGTTTTCACAAGTGGAGCTGCAGCTGAGAGAACTGTTATGTAATGATGAAGGAAGCGGACCGGAGAACTGTCTGCCGGTGCATTCAGAGTTCATCTTATCACATAAACTGGATCTCCACTACCGACATATTTTGGTTTATCATGATGCAAGAGCAGTCAACAGTAGCAGGGCGTGCTTGGGAGACTGAAACGTAACAGAAGGCAATCAAGTGTAACTGCTCAGAAGTAGGAACTCAAAAAGAATAAGTGGGAGAAATAAGAAATAAGCAAGAAATAAGCAAGAAATAAACAAATTCTGCTTAATTCACATACAGGGAGGGAATTCTAGTGGCCTAAGGAAAGATATTTAAAATTCTATTACAGCAGATGATAAAAAAATTTCTTTTTGTTTAAGAATTCTGCTTCTATTTTGTACACTAAAAGTATAGTTCCTTTAGAGTGTAGCCTTGAAAAGGTTGCATAGTTAAAGCATACTTTTAAACATAACTCAAATGAAAATGGGAGTGTTTTATTCTGTATTTACATTACTGTGTATACTCTGCCACTGTAAAATAAATAATGACAATGGTCTGTGGTTTTTGCTTTCATTTGAGCATTTTGTAGAATTTATAGTCAACGTTTTCCATTAAACATACTAATAGGTTAATAGAAACCATTCCACCCCTAACCCCCACCCCCTGACAACCTTGCAGATGAAGGGCGGTTGTAGATAATGAATGAATTTTCCATTGAATCACTAAATAACGGTTGATTCTTCGGTTATATTTAAGGAGTAACAAAGGAGACCAAGATTAACTGACTGAAAAAGACGAATACATCACCACAAACGTGGGTGTCTATGAGTCATAGGAATATACAGTATATTCAAGGCATTAGGCATTTCAATTTACTTGAGATTGTTGCATTGGTGTCATCAGCATCGGTTGATAACAGTTATTTTAGGTTTGTGAATATCACTTTGATGGAACCAATTCCATATGAATAATTATATTGAATCTGAAAAGATGTGAACCAAAGAACTGTAGCCCAAATGTCAAAAAAAAAATAAAACATTTAAGGAAGACAGCAAAAAAGTGGCTTGATTTTGGGATATAAACATCACAGCATGTATGTGTGTGTGTGTGTGGGTATCACTCACCATGCTCCTCAATGTAGTCGACAATGTGTTTCACCAGTGCAGGAACCTCATGGCCACTGATTGTGTGTGTGCGTGTCACCTCCTCCAATGGAACGCCAAAAACACGTGTGGTGCTGGCTGAGCTCCCGCCCTCATTGCCTGGCAACGGAGACACGCTCTTCCTCATGGCCTCCTCCTCCTCCTCACCACAACCCCGCCAAGACCTCACGTCTTCAAAAAGAAAAAGAAAAGCAGAAGCAGGGGATTAGACATAAAGTGACGTGGAATCATTTACAAAAACTAAGAGCCTTAGTGAAGGATAGAGCCTGGCATAAATCATCGCTTTTGATCTTCAGTCGTTCTCTCACTGCAAGCCAAAGAGAGCAGAAAATACAATTACGTAGACCAAAGATCCAAGGAGATAATAAGAAGAGCGATTGAGGGTTATCAGACAACTCTCTACCTCTGCTGTTCACAAACAAACAAAATGAGCACACCACCCGTAAACATGGGAGTGGCTGGTTTGCATGTTTATGATCCTCCCCTCCTCACATTTAACCAAGAAAGAAGAGGAGGAGTGGGAGGGGGAAGGGGACAATGGACAGCAGTAATATGCCACTGGCCAGAAAAGGCATTTACACCTGGTCCTTCAAAAAGGTAGGAAGCACAGGTGGAGCAGGAGGAAGGATAAGAGGAAGGGTATATATAAAAGTGTATTCTGTGTTTGGGATAGTCATATGACCACTACAGTCACCCATCACCAGTCAGTGTTTCTGATAACGGTGAATTTAGATAACGAGCCCTTATGAAATGTTCTTATTCAAAAGAATCAGTGGGTGAAGAAGATTATTTTATAAAATGTAGGTTCCATGGTGGCTAAGACACCCCTGTGTTTGGTGAGCCATACCAGGTAGAGAAGGAGACAGATTTAAGGTTTAGGCAAGAGTGGTGGTGCTGCTGTCAGACAGGGATCATGAAGCGTGAAGTGTCCTGTCTATGCTAAATGAAAGGGTGGCTAAAGCAGCACACCAGGAATTCTGTCTGTGTAAAGTATTGTATCAACTCCCCACAGGGGATGTTTTAAATGACATAAACGCACTTCAGCATGGGCAAAAGTCTGCTTCTTGTCCGTCTTGTCTGTTACATAATCATAATTTAAAGGTCATTACTTACATTAAACTCTGATCCCTATAGTATTTGTCACCATTTGCCTCTCATGCAAAGGAGTTGCTATCACTGGCTAAATGGAATGGAAATTAATGGAAAGAAAGAATCTCCAACAATAATTTCTGTTCAAAGTTAGACTTTGATGATGGTCAGCTGGTGAGTAAAACAAATGACAAAAAAGCAGAACACATAGGTATTGCTCAAACACAAACACACACACACACACACACACACACACACACACATAGAAGTTTAACTTGGTCAGCTGTTTACTCCTCCTATCACTCTGCTGATAACCAGTTTAAAACCAGTCTGTTGGTGTATTTATGTCCAGCTTGTTCTTCTAATGACAGAAATCCCCAAGAATCTCCAGTATTCGTGGCAGCAGAGTGGCTTTTATATATATTTAAAATATTCACGTGTATTCACATATATGACATGTTTTCTTAAAGAATTTTTGTACCGATTGAATAACATAAGCCTGTTTAATAACTTCCTGTACAGTATTAGACTGTACATATTACTCTGTATTAGGAGGAAGGAGGAAGTGGGAACTCTCATTTTAAAGAGACAGTAACGTCTGCTGGGTTATGGCTGTCGAAGATACAGTTGACCATGGCGGATTGCTTGTCTAGACAACTTTTCTAAGAACTGTCAAAAATTTGACTTATGTTGTGTTATAGCTTGTCATTTAATTATGTGAAGTTAATGTTAACTCAAGGACCTAAAGGGTGGGGCTCTAGATAATGAGTCAATTCACAAAAAGTGAATACTTTAATATAAAAATATGCATTTGAAGTGAAGTGGGTCCATTACTTCCTCCAGAAATGGATGTGCCTGCATGTGTTTGTGTATGTGTGAGTACTCACCGTGTAGCAGTGAAAGTGTGTCCTATCCTCTCCTCCCCTGCCCAGTGAACCACTGAACCATCTATGGCTGCTTCAGGTTGTGGCAGAAGATGAGCCGGTAGTTCCTCATTGACGGACCGCTAATCCCTCTTGCAGGATCCCCTTCTAGCTACACTGAGAAGAAACAGAGAGAAAGGGAAGAGGGAGGAACAAAGGAAAGGAGATAATGGCAGAAGAAATGAAAGGGTGAGGGAGGAGACAGAGATGAGGAGGAGAAAAAGATACAATGTTTTAAGTAACAATCCCTCATAATTTTACAACCATTGTAATAAAATGATGAAATGCAGCGTGTTTCAAGCTGTACCATCTAACTATAACTTTTACATTTCCTGTTCTCAAAACCTGTTATCAAGTGCACAAGAAGAGACGCGTATTATGTTTGTTGCTGTAACGGTAATTTCCTGTAAACCATCTGTCAATCTTGTTTAGTGGTTCTGGTTCTTATCAAAATTATTATTTCAAAATGAAAAATAAATAGAAGTACTAAAAGCAAAAAAACAACTTTATTTTTCAGGCTTAGGTAGCCATAATCAGTAATGTGTCATAATTAAATATGAATACCTTTGCACTGAGCACTTATACAAAATGACTTTATTAAAAACACATTAATCAATATAAAATGTATATATTGGACCCTGCCAACACACTGGCAAGATAATGTGGGTACCACAGATCATTAGTTCCATGCCATATGGACATACCAGCATTTAAAATCTTCTGTGAGCAGTCATACACAAGCTTTCCTCCATCTTGGTCAACAGAATCAGTGTTTAAACAGCCAAAGAAAAGAGCGCTACCTACAGAAAATCAAACCTTAACAGAAAATCCAGGAAAGAAGATGCTGCAGTACAGACCATGCTGTTTAAATGCCATAAGATATCTGGGAATTGAAGTGTACACTGACCACAGCAGTGGTGACTGCTTAATAATAATGACTACCTCAAACATAATTTATACACAGTTACACATGTTGCTGTAATTCATACTAAATATAATAATATTAAAATTCATCATCTTAAGACTTGGCTACAGACAAGAACAAATTTCCTCAAACTAATTATTCAATGCAATTAATTATAACCAATTGCAACACTAGTAATTGATGCAATAAATCAAGCAAATGCTAACTAAACCACATGCAAAATACCTTCCCACAAATTGGACCAAATGAGGACAAAGGATGACTGAACTATAAAGAAAGTAAAGCAAACACATTGCATCGCGCAATAGCCACACTCAGCCTCTTTCTTGTAACATAATGTAGATTCGGGTAAGACATGATAATTCAGTAGAGAAACATGCATTTGTCCCAACAGTGACTCAACACTACATGCCAGCACTCAAACTAAAATATGTATCAGAATCAAACAGATTAAAACATTAGTATTTGTCTATTTCCGTTTGTGTCTCCTTCAGCTGGTTGAGGTTTTGCTGCTAAAGAATTTAGGGGCACCCTGGTAGCTCACCTGGTAGAGCCCCCATGTACCAAGGCTGCGGCGGACATGGGTTCGAGTCTGACCTCTGACCCTTTGCTGGGTGTCATTCCCTCTGTCTCTCCCATTTCTTGGCTATCTTCAGCTGTCTTATCATAACTAATAAAAGGCAAAAAGCGCAAATATATATATATATATATATACAAAAAAAGAATTAGTGAACTTAATTTCCTTTTGCTTCCTGTACTCCTCTTTCACTTCAGTGTCTATACCCCTTTCCCCTCCTTGTTTTCTCCTTCCTTTCTTTCTTATCCTTCTTCTCTCCCCTTTTTATTTCTCACATCTCCTTCCTCACTAATCTCATATTCCTACTTAGAGGCTTGAGATATAAGGTTGTCCACAGTCCAAGAGTCTGCTGGAGGTGAGGACTGAACACAATAATTAAAATGACACTGGTTAGGCTGTGTGTGTGTGTGTGTGTGAAGTAGGAGTGTCACTTTGAATCTGTGTATGTTAGGTGTGTGCCTGTTAACTGCTGCCACTTCAGTGCGTGAGTGTGTGTATGAATGTCTGATTGTACATATGAATGTATGTGCTTGATGAGGCTGTAAAGACTGCAAGTGTGTGTGTGTGTGTGTTAGAGTATATGTGATATGTGATGAAAGGGTGAATATTAATGTGTGTTGGTGTGTCCAAGTGTGGATGAAGAGAGAAATTGTCCTTTGAGGTTGTCCCCGTCTACTTTGGTCTCCATGGGAATGTGGCCATGTGGTAAAATATTAAAAACATAGCTCTACTTTTGAGACTATTCCAAAAGATCCAAGAGACGGAGAGGGTACGGGAAAATGAGAGGGAGTGAGGAAGAAGGAAACATGCATTTGCTAGAGATACACAATCATTTTAGTTGTGTTCTTGAATAATAATGTAGTAAATAAGTAAATAAATAAGAAGTCTTTTTAACTTTATAAATGTTGAAAGCTAAAGCTAGTGCTGTACCTTGACTTTTTGGGAGTTTACAGGAGTGGTCTGACTTTATAATTTGTATTTTGATTTATCCAAAACATTGCTACAGTGCTCAATAATATTTAATGAGAAATCCGAGCACATATATTCAGGACTGATAAGTCTAAATTATAGTTTTAATTAGACTGATTCTTTTGAGAAGCCAGTTCATCAATACTTAACAATACTGATAGCCATGTTGCCTATCTTTGCCACACACATTCTGCAGCATTACACACGTTAATATTAACATATTCAACTGCTTGAGCTTTGATAAGTTTTATGCCCAATCCCCTTCTGGAGCAACTCTCTCATTCTTGCTTTTCTGCTCGAACACACTCTGTCCCGTCACCCTTTTTTTCTGTGCCCTTCCTTTCCTTTCATTCATCCTTACGCTGGGCGTTACACAAGCCATCCGTCCTACTTGGGTTGTCAGCATCACCTCTACGTCAGGAGGAGCAGAGGAGTAAAGATGAGCAGGAATATGGATTGTCAATGAGGGAAAAACACTCAGTTAAGATAGATATTGTATCAATTCCTTAATATTATAATATATTTCTTTCTCTGCAGGTATCTGTGTCTCTCTCACCAAAACAAGCTTGTCCTGATACTTAAATTAACTTTGCCGTTTACATTTTTTGCTGAATTTCTAAAACCTAAATCCTTGTCAAGACCTTTTAAGTACACTAAATGTTTTTAGTGTGTTTGGTGGACCAGCAATGATTTACAGAGTTACAGCTTTTAGTGGATGTTCCTTTGGTATTTAGCTCAGTGCTAAACGCTCTTTGAAAACTGGATATTTTATTATTAAGGTCAGATAGGGGCTGCCACACACTTGTAGCCAACTGTCTTTCAAAGCTCCTTATGTAATACAGTACATATACTTCCAAGCAGGTGTGCAAGGTTGCATATTAATCCATACATTTTTACAGTGTGTAGCTCAGAAGAAGACTGAAACCTCAGCAGTGTTGGTGGCATGCAGAAGCTACTGAGCTACACAGAAAAACAAAGAATTCAATCTATCAGCTTTTGTAAAGTGCAGCGCTGAGGTGACTGCCCTAAAGGAGTAGGCAGCATAGACTGCTCTGCCAACATGGAGGAAGCTTTCACTTAAGCCAAGTCACAGCATCACAGCATTTTGTCAGGATGACAGCTAAGTGCTTCTTTTCACATATATCAGGGCTGAAAAAATAAAATGTAAAACTCAAAGCTACCTACCTAGTTCACTAGCACTACCTGGGTGCACATCATATAGATCCCAGTTTCATCTAACAGTGAGAACCACATATTGCTTGGCCTAGTGGATGCAGGCTATTCATCTGCCACTGCCTTTATTGGGATAGACGCACATATGAACTCAACTTAACCTGAGAAGAATTTAAACAGTACCTCCCCCACCTACACCAGCAATTTTCTTTTACCTTTTCCACTTCCAAAGTTATTTTTTCTCTTATTGCCATATAAGTTTTATCTTTGATTTGGCATATTTGACAGCAAAAACAAAGAAAGGATTTTCAACCTTGAAATTTTGTATGTTGAGCTGAACCATTTTCAGGTTTTCCTATTACTTGGGCTTATTAAATGGGTGTTCAGGAGTCTTATGTTTGCTCATAAGGATTGTGGAGTCCTCTAAAGGCATTCTTGAGCCTCTATTCTTTCCAAAACCAACTGAACTGGCACTGCTAGGTCCTAAGCCTCTTTAAAAGCTAGAGAAAATCCCAGAATTGGATCTGAAATTCTTGTATTGCGTCAGGGCCTTTACTACGGAAATCAGAAATGGTGCAACACACCAGACAGTTTTGTTGTCAGCAGAATAGGGCTGTAACTAACGATTATTTTTATTATTGATTAAAATATAAAGTCGCGCAAAACAAAGGCCAAGGCCTCAGAGGTCTTGTTTTATCTGCAACCCAAAGACATTCGCTTCAGAAACCATAAAATATTCACATTTGAGAAACTCAAATCAGAGAATTTGGACATTTCTTGGACAGACAATCAATCAATTATCATAATATTTGGTAATTAAACTTATAGCTGACAACTCATCAATTAATCTACTAAATGTTGCAGCTATAAAACGTAAATAGTACAGTAACAGAGCGCAGAAACCTTTTAAGCAGAGGTGGTACTGTTACTGCCGGGCTCAACACAGTTGAGCTTCAGCAGAAAGATGAGGACAATGGCACTCTGAAATCAGGGAACTCAATGTTCTCAAACCAGTGCCTTGTCTGCCATGAAAAGTGGCCCTAAAAGGCCTCTGTAGTGAGGATTTGGTCAGTAATGGAACAGTCTAGAGTGTCTGACTGTGTTTCTTTCTGTCTGTCTGTGTGCCTTAATCCCTGATATCATGCTTGACAACCTCCTGCTCAACAATGAGGGACATTGTTAGAAGAGAAACAGAGAAAGTTAAGGCGGTGCTATAAAAGAGGGAAAGAAAAGGTAAGGAAAACAGACAGAAAGAGAAAACTAAAGGACCAGAGGGGAAAGGGGCCAATGGATAATATGAGAACAAGCTAGAGGAAAGTGTATAATGGGAGACGCAACTAAAGAACACAGTAGACAGTCATGTTAAGACACACATTAGCACTGTGTGAAAAAAGCCAGCAACCTCATTCATTTCTATGAGGCCAATGCGTTGACACAATGGTGATGCAGACGCGGAGGATTTTGCCAA